AACTAAAATTAAAAGTATGGATCTTTTTAAGTTATCTAATACTAGGTAATATAAGTAATAATAATAATAATATAATCGAAAGTGTTCACAAAGCATGCACACGAGCAGGTCATGGGTAATGTAATTCAATAGCATAACGTGGGCTGCACATTCCCCGAGAGTGCGGATAGCAGTTAGACACGGTTCAAAGGGCAATAAAACAATAAATTTAATTATATATAGATTTATAATGTTACGAACAATTCGAGCTATTTTGGATAAACGAATGTAATTTCATGTTACAATTTGAAGTCATACTAGAAAGAAACGAAGGTTAATTTAGGTTTATTTCGATTTTCTTTTGGTGGTTACAAGGTCGGTCGAATTGACTGATCCTGTTTTGAGATTAGGGTAGAAAAGATAACATAAACTATAAGGATTTAGTGAAAAAAAACGTTTTAAATGCATTTAGGAGGTTTTAGGGATTACATAGGAGAAATTTGAGATTTTTGAGATGGTGAAAAGTATTTTTAATTTTAACATGAAAACTACTTTGCACACGGACTATTCAAAACAAATACTTAATATATTCATGGACAAATCTTTATTCTATTTTAATAAAAGTACTTCACTAAGAAATATGACTTTTTGTATGTGAAAGACTTGTAATATTAACTGAAAGACTGCCAAATTTCATGAAGATATACCCAATACATAGAGAGTTATAAGTATTAAATTTACGTCAACTTGAACGAGTACAGAAGGTCACGTGACTCGGTCAAATTGACCGACCCCATGTCGGAAGAGTTAATGAACATTTATAATTACAAATAACTAGTAGCTATTTAATTGCAATGTAAATAACCAATGTTTAATGGTACATTACGCAATATGTAGTTACAAATTCAAAAATATAACTATACACTTTGTGCTACAGCTATGTAAAGAACCATAGTATTTAATGTTAATACAAGTATCAAACAACTATATCTAGCTACAAATTCACTTACAATTTATATATTGTGTGCTATATGGGCAAATACAGCTAACTGTAGAAATCTACTTATACAGCTAGCTAACTTTGCAACTTAGCTACATAGCATTGGAGCCAGACACAGAAAAGATCCATGGCTGCACACATGCATGCGTTGCTCACAAACATGCAGCCTAGTTACATTTTGTTATTTTGTTTACCAATGTTTTCTATGGTCTGTTCAGTTTTTTCTGTCGATCTCCAGCAAATCATTTTCTGAAACAGTACGTAAAGGACTAACTAACTATAAGTGACCACAATATGCAGGCAAACATGTGATACATTGATAAAAAAAAGTTATATACATACAATGTAAACTATACCATTGCCCATTAAATGGGCGTAAAAAAGTGAACAAACTAGCTGATTAAAAATTTAAAAACAAATAATAGGGATCTCAAAAAAGTAAACATACAAGTGGTTGGATATACTATTAGCTGAATATTGATCATGATCTGTCTTACATCAAATTCCTATTTGACTGCAGCACCTTGCATACATATATATAGGCATTCAGTGTGCAGTAAAATAAAAATGATTCATGACAGATTGATACACGCAAACTGATAGTGTATTCAACCTCTTGTATTTTTAATTTTTTTGTGATCTCTATCATTTGTTTTTAAATTTTTAATCATCTAGTTATAACCATATAAAGGATATCTGTAATGTTTATAAAACTTTAACTACAAAGAGACACAAACTTACCATTCATATACATGTATGACACATCATTTGGATGAAACAGAACAGCATTTTTCTTGCCTTTTACTTGGATAAGTAAGTTGTCCATTACCTAAGGGTATACAACTTGTTAAGCACAGGAAATGTGCAACATAAATTATGTCAAAAGTTTCATACCAGATAAAAATGTATTTCTTCTTTAACAGTTCAATATCATGTGTTTGTATTTCAGGCTAAGTGTAGGACTGTTTAATATTTTCTTTCACATATTCTATCAATCTTCTTTTGATGAACACTCTTTGCATACTGGTACAGGCTAATTCAGTTTTTTTCTTTAGCATGTTCATAACAATGTATCTAATGATAAGGAGACAACATGTCTCATTGACTACAACACTGGTTATTTTAGAGGGTGAGTTAAAAGATGTTTGTTTATAGATATTCTGTTATTGTCAGGAAAATCAATCAACAAACTAAGAAATATTCTTTTCAATAAAAACTTAGCCTCTTGGACTAAAGAATTACATATTATACATACAATGAAGTTTAAAACTAAAACAAAAAATCTTACATCATAATGTGTCCATAAACACAAGCCTTTTGAAGCAATTCGAAACACAGAGGAGAAAAACTGCTTTTCAGGGAATATATCAGAATAGGTTATATCTTTAGCTAAGCCTGGAAACTGTCTTCTGATGTCAGCTACATCTTTACGTGGGTCATCTCCAAGTGATCTCATGTAATAAAATTCTTTCTAAAAGCATAAAAGAAAAATATTGTTGGAAATATTTACAACAAATTTCAATACTTCAACAGTATATTTTTATAATGAGATTTAAAACACTGAAAATTTTGCACATTAATAAAACTAACTTAAAATCACATTAAGCATTCAAACCAAACTTCACTACAATTAGTTAAGAACTAGTTTTGTTGTAAAAAAAAATGTTTATTCAATTACATCATGCATTGTATATATATATATATATATATATATATATCAGCTTATATGTACTTAGCTACAATATTATTCTTAATGAATACTATATTAAAGACTAAATATACCTTAAATAAGAAACAAAACAAATTAAGTAATTATTAACTTATTTTATTTATAGAGAACTAATTTTCTT